CTGTGAACTGGCCGTCATGTTTCTAAAACATTAAAGAGACAGAAAAGCAGGTTAACATCTATCAACAACTAGCTGGGCAGTCATGAGGGAGAGCATTTTATGTGCATTTTCAGCACACTGGAAAAATGCTACTCAAAAATAGATAATTCTTTCTCAGTAGTAAAGATAAGATAATAAAGTGCATGTACCCGAAGAAAAGCATCCAGGGATCCATTTTCCATGTATTCTGTGATGATCATCAACGGCTTACCTAAACAGGTACAGACATATACAGACATATTAGACCAAACTACAACATGCACAAATACTACTACTAAAGAGTTGACACATTCTGTCAACAACTCACATCTTGTGACGACGCCCTCCAGCCTGATGATGTTCGGATGGTCGAACTGTCCCATGATGGAGGCCTCAGACAGGAAGTCCCTCCTCTGTTTGTCAGAGTACCCCGCCTTCAGACTCTTGATGGCCACGTAGATCTCCCTCTTTCCCTGAACACGCAGCCGACCACTGCACACCTCCCCAAACTCTCCTACACACATAGAGCAAACAGCAGTGTCAGCGCCAAGTAAGCATGTGTGTGTGGGTTAGTGCGCGTGTGTGTGCGAATGGTAGGCTTACCCATGCCAATAACCCTCTCAATGTGAATACTGCTAACATCAATCTCCTTGGCAAACTCGTGGATGGCCTGATCGGGGTCTTCGTAGGTGAACGGGTCCACGTAGATTTTGACTCCTGCCGTGGAGGAAAGGTGGGAGAGGACAGGGAACGAGGGAGGAGAAGGAGGGATGCAGAGGAGGGTGAGAAATATGAGTTGTGTAACTGCTGCATATGTTATGTAAATGTCTTTGGCAGTATGTGTATAAGATGTGTGCAGGTGGATTGAAGAGAAGAGCATCCATCTGTCTCTCTGTCTTTTTACAGTCCAGTAGGTGTGTGTGTGTGTACGTGAGTGTGTGTGTGCAGTACCTGGGTTAAGATGTTTCTCCTCCTCTGAGTCCTGCTTTGCTTTACTGTACTTGCTCCTCCTGGTGACACAAAAGAAATGATTGACATTAAACACACAGGCATAGAAAAAACATGGAAGTCTGTCAGAACATGCCTGTAACCATTGCTTTTGACTTCTCACATTTTTGATGTTTTGTTACAGTTAAGAGCACTGACAAAAAGGCATATATGTCACATTGTTTTTAATTTTGTTTATTTTTTTCCAGTAGCGCTATGCATTCATTGGGTTTTTCAGGTTTTGCCGCAATAGAAAGCGGTGACAATGAGAACAGAGACCAACGAGCTGCAGGAAAGACACAGAGCGAGCAGATGAAAGCATTTAAGGAAGGGAGGGAGGAGGGCCGATGCCTCAGGTAGCGCAAGATAAAAGGTGTTTTCCATTAAACAAAGAAACTGTCAAAAACACCTTTGTGAGTGAGCAGGTGTGTGTGTGTGTTTGTGGGCACTTGCGCATGCTTATGTTTTTGTGTGTAAGTGTGCACGCCAGCGGAAGCGGACACACAAGCTGTGCTGCTGAAGAGACAGTAATGACAAGTCAGGGACAAAGGGATTATCACTGTCTCCACTCTAATCCCCTTTAAAAGCTCCAGGTAACACACACACACACATATTATTTAGCCACACAATGGCAGGGGAGTTGTGTGTGTTGTTTGTTTGTGTGAATTGGGGAAGTTCAAAAGTAGTAGTTAAGGTAGAGGCAGTACACATATTGACAATGGTGATGTACTGACGGGAAACTTCTAGCCAGCCTAACCAGCCTATAGGTGTGCATGCTTGCCTGTATGGATGCCTATGTGTGTGTGTGTGTGTGTATGTATGTGCGTGTGTTTATACCTGCGGCTAATGATGAAGACAGCTGCAGATATCAGCATTAAAATTCCAACCCCACTGACAGACAGCAGCAGGAAGGCTGAGTTTACTCCTTCTCCAATCAGAGGGAAGGGATCTAACAAGAAAGGACACAAAAAGTCACCAACCAGAAAGTTGTAAACTGCATCACAACAAACTTCAATGCATCATCGGAAACTACAGAGCTTTATTGTCAGAATACCTGAATTGGTGGAGAATTCAAACGGGGCGCTGAACTCTCCATAACCAGCCGCTGTGCGAGCACGCACATGAAACACATACACAGTGAGGGGGTTGAGACCCGTGACATCGACGCTACGAGAGAAGGTCCTCATTATGCGGTAAGACCTCTCTCTCTGATCCTGATTAGACGGGACAAAAAGAGGGGGATCTTTTCAGTGCCTGACTGCAAATCCATCTTCACCATCAGTGAAATACAAACAGCATGCCAGCGTATTGACATTTCAGACAACAGCCCGAGCTGCATTAACCTACGGGCACCTCACCTTTTCATAGAACTTGACCTCGTATTCCAGGATGACCCCGTTGGGTCGATCCGGCTGTTGCCACGCCAACGACAGACTGTGCCTGGTGACATCGGTGGCTTGTATGAACGACACCGGAGAGGGAGCTGAGAGGGAGCGATAGATGGGGAGAGATAATTCAGAGACAATAGTATAACTTTGTAGCATGACACACTGTATATTCTACAGTGCTGCTAATAAGGTAACAGCGACAACAGTTTTAAATGTAACTCAAAAGATACGAGTGGTGCCTGTTTGTCAACAATCCCATTGACCTAGTGCACCTGAGAACTGACCTAAATCCCATTCCTTCCTATTCCAGAGAGACACACCTCATTCTCCACTCTCTCTCCTCTTACATACCTCCTTTTTCCACCCCTATATGACGTTTGTCCTCCTTTGTTGCTGTTCATATGATATCAGGCCATATGGTGGTGCAGGTTGGACTTGACACATCCAGACAGCTCTCATGCTGTGCACACACTGCTAAGTTATTTCCCCGGGGCACCTGGAACTAAGCAGGTGTGCCGTTTTCTAAATGCCAGCGTAAAGACTTAAAGCAACGACAGTTGAGATGTAACAGCATGCAAAAAAAGCAAGCTGAAAACTAATGGAGAGCATGTGCGAGGAGCGCCACACACCAGCTGACACCTTTAGAAATAAAATGAAACACACCATAAAATCTGGGTGATTTTTCAAACACTTCTGTGGTCAAGAGCTAAAACGAAAATCCCACCCTTACATAGACTCATTCTGTTATGTGTCAACAATTTTGCTATGTAGTGTTGTCATTTACTACGTCGTATTTACTTTTCCCTCAACCAGCTTCGTCTCTTTGTATCTAAGTCAGTGATTTACATTTTGCCAGAATGCTTTCTGACATCCTGTTGAGAACACCCCTGTAATTAATTCAGCTGTTGTTAGATGTAGGAGGACGGAGTAATAACTATGGCAACTATGACAGCGATAGTAAGTAGTTGAGAAAAAGCAAGAAGTATCTTGTGGCTGTTTTTCATTGTGTTGGTATCTCTACTTTCACTAAGATGGATGTGTCCTTGTTCAACATCAGTTTTACAGCATTATGTAAAGAATGCATTTGAAGTGCATTTGAAATATACAGTGTAACAATGTGGTCATCTCGTTTATGTTTCAAAAAGTTTGTGCTAATCTATCTTAACTGCATGTCAAATTTAATGCCAACATATAGCAGACGTATTTAAATGCAGAATTGTGTCTCAAATTGAATTTTTCTTCATCAAATATATAACATTCTCTGGATTATCTTCCAGAAACAAGCATTATCAGAAAGGATCAAAAATATATTTTAAAAGCACTGTGGGGAACGAATATATATTCCAAAACATTTTCTTTCTGATTTTAAATGCAAAATACATCATCAGTAGGTGTTTTACAGCACTTAAGTGTTTAGGGTGGATACTAGCTTTGGCATGCAAGTATGTAGCTACATACATACAGAGCTCGTTGATATCATGCTTCCACAGTTTTGAACATTACTCATGGGGCCTTGTTTCCCGGTGGGCCCACATGCAGTGAACAGCAGTTTGCATTCAGCTGACCCACTTACAGACAACATCTATAAGAAGATTTTGTGTTGCTGCAACGTTCAACAATCTGACACATTTATCATACTTCTTCTCACCAGCTTGGTTGGTGGTGAGGGTGACAGACACACTCTGAGCTGCCCCTGCACCACTGGCCTGGGAGACCCCGTTGTGCGCGTGGACGATGAAGGTGTAGTGTGTGTGAGCCCTGAGCTCGCTCACCACCACCCTGGTGGTCTTCAGGCCGGTCTGGCCAGGAGAGAAGAGCACGTCGGAGCCACAGGGCAGGCAGAGCTGAGAGCCGGAACCTGAGCCAAGTCTCGGGTAATCTCCAGGTACCGGCCTGCTCTGGAAGACACCTCTCCCTGACTGGACTTCAGATCCCACAATCCCCTGGTCCGACTGCATCCCCAGCCCACTGTGCTGAGCCTCAGGCTGGGAGATGCTGCGATTCCTGGGCAGGGATTTGCCGCCAGTCTGACTGTGGCTCCCTGTCTGACAGATGAGACACTCCAGGCTGTAGCTGGTGTCACTTCGTCCTCCGAGCCGGCGAGGGGGTGCCCACTCCAAGACCACCGAGGTCTCATTCACCACAGAAATTAGCTGCTGTGGGGCTGACGGTGGCTCTGGGGAAGAAACAAGAGTAAGCTTGAGCAAGCTTACATCATATACTGCACATAATGAAAGGAGAAGTATAGGGGGTGTACGGGGCTGTTGCTGTGAGCTGTTGGCACGGGCTGAAATGCAGACATCTGGCATCAGACTGAAAACCATACTGTTCAGAGATGTTTTTGATGGGCTGGATGTTTTCGTCTGTGGTATTTTTGTGTGTGTGTGTGTGTGTGTGTATCTAAGAGACAGAGTATGTGTGTGTGTGTGTGTGTGTGTGTGTGTGCGTGAATGTATGTGTTTTCATTTTTCCCAGGCCAAGGAAACCATGTGCTGTATATAGGCATAATTAAGTTTATGACACACAGACCGAGGTCTCCAAGTCTGTCACACAGGACCTACTCAGAGACTTAGAGAGAGAGAGAGAGAGGTAGAGAGAGAGAGGACATTTATTCACTTCTCAATGTCTTTAGTTATCACTCCCAGACAGGATGTAGATGGTGGCTTAGTCATAAGTAATGGGATCATGAAACAGGGGTGGCATTCAGACATGTTTGTGTCTCCCTCTGTTTGGTAGAGATAGAGAGGTTGGGAGACAATGCGTGTGCTTTTTTGCTTTTATTTGCAAGCGATGCACACATATTGTCTGTGTTTTCACTTAACTATTGTCTTACTAGTACGTGGCTGTGTGTGTGTGTGTGTTCTTACGGGTACAAGCCATTGAGGGAGGGTCGCTGTCAGCACGGAAGAATCCAGAGTGGCAGTCACAGACAGTTGCCCCGTCTCTGACTGAGTGGCTATGTGGAGGACATTTAGAGCATCCTAGATCTGAAGACTTGGCCTTGTAAAAACCGACAGAGCAGGCTGCAGAGGGACAGAGACAAAGAGAAAGACAGCATTTTAAAACTATTTAATAACAGTGCTTAGCCATGTACATCAGCACCAGATAATGTCAATAAAAACAGGTCACATTCACACAAACTTTATTTAAGGCACTAAAAAGCAAAGTGAGAACATGTTACCTTGAACAGAACATAGGTTTTAAGGTTCCCTGTGTTTTTTTTAACACTATGGAACAATGAACAAGTTAAAACTTTACTTGTATGTCACGCTCAACTATGCACATGGACAGACATATATGTTTGCTACAGCTGAAACAGTTGTGGATCAATCAACAGAGAATGAATGATAAATAATTTAGATATACCTTATCTAAATTGTTGTTTAAGCAATTTTGTAAGTGAGAAAGCCAAAAAATGAATTAGTTAAAACTCATTAAACAGTCTTGTTGTCCTCCATATTGACAGGTCAGACAGCTCAAGCAACAACCTAATCAACACATGGACTGCAATTTGATCCAAAGATAAACAACTGTAAAGAAAAATCCCAAGAGAGAAACAGATATACTATGGAGGGGAGGGGTACTATGACTTCTTTTATCTTTGATTTTGACGAGCAAAGAAAAGAAACACCTAAAAGAACACTTTCTGACGAGCTCCCACTCACACACACAGAAACCAGAAACACTAGAACTGAATACATCAAAACTCCACAGTGTCGGCAGCCCACACAAATATAATTGACATTTAAATATATGAAAGAAGAGAAACACAGAAAGAGAGAGTGTGAGAGAGAGACGGGAGGGAGAGAAATCGTCTCTCTGTATACCAAGGAATTCATGCATTGACAGAGCAACAATACAATAAATGAGTGCATAATTATACTGCTTGACATCCACTGGTGAAGCAAAAGAGATGGCAAAGCGTGGCTAGTTAGAGCCATTTTTTTTCCTTTCTTTAATTTCAGAAGGAAATCCTTCATTTGTTTCTAGTGCAATCACGTTTTCAACACCTTCTTTTTCATCATCACACCCTATTCATTCTCCTTCCTCAATCCCACCATCTTTCCCGGTTCTCTCCTTTTTTCAACCCTTTCACATTTCCAAGGGAGATGAAGACATCCCAGTGGGAGTGGATAGGAATGTGGGAATGATGTGTGTGCGTACATGTTGAGTGTGTGTGTGTGTG